TAGAATATTACAGAAGGTCACACAACATAACTCTCTTTCAGAAAGTGAAATGCAAAATTTAGATTCAAAGATGATTGAGATGTCAGGCATGGTCTGAGTCCTGAGAATGAGAATGACAGAAAATAAGTCTTTTCTAATGTACTGAGCTTAGATATCAATATGACATCAAAACTATTTGGTAGAGAGCTAGGCATGCAAACCTGAAACTTGAGAAATCAGAACTCAAGTAATATCTGGAAACCTTCCAAATAAAAGGAAACAGTTGCATCACTCCAAATAGATCAATTTTCTAAGAAAAAGGCAACAGAGAAGGCCAGAACTCTCAAGATCAAATATAATGAGAAAATCAAGAATTTCAAAATGGAAGAGGGTTATTGAGGGAGAGAAAAAAAAGTAGAATTCATGAGAGAAGTAGCTGAGTATAGTTGCAGTGTGGTCCAGAGAAAAAATGGGCTTTCAAAAAGGACAGGTGGGGGCCAGGGCAGTGGGCCACAGTGTTGCCCGCCACAGAGAGGCCAACATGAGAGGGGAGGAGAGGTCCAGATGTGTTCATGGGAGCATCAGTTATAATGATTTCTTACTTGTCTCATCTCCTGACAACAAACCTCCTCTTAGCAAATGCAATTCTGTTTTGAATTGTGGAGAAGGCACATCCCTTACAATGACAGATTTCATCAGCTCCCCTCCCACAGTCTTTTTAGAACACTGGATGTGGCTTATTGGTCACTGTATTCCAATATTCTTCTCGAGACCACTCCAATGAGAATTTGCTCTGTCTAACAAGAAAGTATAGCCACTTCTCTTTCCTAAGAGGAAGCTCATTGCTACCTAAGCAAGGGTGTCCACACTTTTGGCATGTCCGGCCCATGTTGGAAGAAGAATTGTCTTGGGCCACTCACTAAATACACAAACACTAACAAAAACTGATGAGCAAAAACAATATTTTAAGTAAATTTATTATTTTTGAAGGGGCTGCATTCATAGACATCCTGGGCCACAGGTTGGACAATCTTGGGGGCATTTCTGGAATTCACAGACTGCAAAGTTATGTTATAAGACATCTAACATTTACTGACCACAAATTGTGTGCCATGCATTGGCCAGCAATTCCGTAATTATTTCTTTATTTAATAGTAACAAATTGCAAGTCAGGCATTAGTGGGAATCATTGTTCCCCATTTTATTCTGGCATCTCAAAATTGTTTTATACCTCTTGTAGTGGAAGCCAATATCATTATACCACTGGAAACTGAGAAAATGGGCAACTCTTGAATGAAGGGATCAAAAAATCAAAATTAGAAAAGCATTTAAGCACTGGAGAATAATGTTCATCACCTGTTCTTCTGGTTTGTGATAAATAATTATTTAATATTGCAAACTTCAGGGAATTCCACCTAATAGAGATAAAATCAGGCTCCTCATAAAAGTGAAAAATATGGAAATTCCTGAAGTAAGACTTTTTTTTTACAAAGTTAATTTATTTAAGACAAATACAGTTAAAACTTTTCATTTGAAACTTGCCTTAGTACTTTGCTATCATCTCTTGCATCTGGTTTCTACAAGTCGACGGTTTGTTCTTTTTTGTTTTTAACCTATTTAGCTTGTGGGAGAAATATACTATCATTTTTACTTAAACCCAACCTACCAAGTAAAAATAATCTACAAATTCAAGGTTTATTTCACACTGAAAATAAACAGGGTATGCAGTTTTTCATAACTGATAATTTTTATAATTGGGATGCTATATACTTCTAGTATCATTAATGATGAGTTGAGTTATTCATATGTTCTGAAAACCCAGCTTATGTTGCCCTCTTGATGGTAAATTGAAGAAGCCATTAGCGGTTTTTCACAGCTGAGTTGTGATTAATTTTTTTCCAGCCCAGAGTTTTTTCCTCCTTTACAATTTCAGGATGTAATAATAAATAGTTTGAAGCAGAAGTAGAGTAGATGATGTTAAACCTTTTGTCTCATGATGTTAAACCCTGCGTTGAAGAAGTAATAGAAGAATGAGTTGAACAATAGTGAAATAATGAATCAGGCTTAGTGGGAAAGTGTTGACAAGTGGGCACTAGGGAAAAGGGAAGGTGAGGAGCAAGGTCCATTCAGAAGCCTCTCTCCATATCACAGTAAGTGCTGGTGAATGGACCATTAGTCTAGTGGTTCCAGCCAGTTTCAGTGAGCCAAATACATCAGGCAGAGTGACTGTGATATTCTGGTAGGAATTAGAATCCAGGAACCCTACAGCGAGCTGAGACCTAGTCCAAATTTCAAGAAGCAAATGTGTAAGCCAAAGACAATGGTGGAGGGTGCTGGGCAAGAGCTTGGTCACCAGACTGGAATGGAGGTCAGCCACATACACGCTGAAAGTAAGAGCTAATGAATAAGGGAAGCTATGGGCAAGTACTGAAATTCAAATGCTTTCTGGTAGGGTCCCAGGTTCTAACAGAATGGAAGGAATCTTATGAAAAGTCAGAGTTATCCTACCTCACAAATAGTTTAAACCTTTTATGAATAATTAAATTGAATTAACTTTAAATTAAACATAAATTCAACATATACAAAGCAGCTATTCTTTCCAGGTACTATGGGAATCATGCAAAATATAAAAGAAAGTGATGCATCATCCTGTAAAGCCAAGCATCATAGTCTAGTGAAGGAGAAAGTCTTGGAAACAGTCAAAAGAAAGCATTAATATAATATAAAGATATAAACGCAGCATGCGGACTCATATTACAATACAAAGAGAGCAGGAGAAGGCTGTAGAGAGAAGGGATATGTGACCTGGGCAGGAAATTGGCTTTGCCAGGATATAAAGATATGAATTACGAGAGTGTCTAAAGTATCCCAGGTATGGTGAAAATATATGGGTAGGTTGTAAGATATACTGGGTCTAGGAGGAGGGGGTGCAGAATGATGAGAGGGAGAGGGAGCGGGGTAAGCAAGATAGGATAAGTGGAGCCAGGTGGAGACAAGAGCTATTGTTAGCCTTACCTGCGGGGCGATTATTCTCAAGGTGAGGTCCCAGGATCAGTTGCATTAGCATCACATAGGAATAAGTTAGACATTCTCTGGCCTCATCTGGAATCAGAAACTCTCCGGGAGGGGGTGGGGTGCAGCAAGTGGTGTTTTAATGACCCCTGTGGGTGATTCTGATGCACAGTGAGGTTTTAGAACCACTGCTGCAAGGAAAAGTGAGATTGTGGGGGATGGTTAAACAAGGGAGCGACAAGGCCCTATTTTCCTCTTAAGATGAAAACTAGCCCAAGTATGGATGATGGACTAGTCTCATGGCCAAAGACCATGGCTATTGCAAAATACAAGAAAGGTCAAAAGCCAAATATCTTTAAGGAGAAAATATGGGTCATAATTTGATTTAAAAAGTGATTAAGAAAGTGCTTCACAGTCTGGCAGCAATTTAGAGTCATTAATTAGGAGAGGACCAAATGATCCCAAAATCGAAACACTACTGCCTATTAATTTAAAGTTTTTTATCCTTTCATTTCAACATATTTCTATTTTTCTCATTTGTCATGTAATTTGTCACAAATGGCAGGATTACTTTAATAAAAGGAGTACAGAAGGCTTTGGAGAGCCAAACAATACTGCTTAGGGTAGATCCCCATAAATCTTTGTGTCTTTATAATATACCCTGGAAATCTTTCTGTTACAGACTGAATTGTTTTCTTCCAAATTCATATGTTGAAGCTCTAGCCCCCAATGTGACCTCAAGTGGAGTTAGGGTCTTGTAAGGGGTAATAAAGGTTAAATGAGGTCACAAGGATGGAGCCTTCATCTGATAGTACTGGTGTCCTTGTAAGAAGAAGAGACACTAGATCTTTCTCTCTCTCTTTCTCTCCTGACAAGAAGCCCTTTGAGGACAAAGAGAGAAGGCATCTCTACAAGAGAGGAAGAGAAGTTTTATCAGAAATCAACTTTGATGGCACCTGACCTCCAGCTTCTTAAGTGTGAGAATATAAATTTCTTTTGTCTAAGCCACCAGTTTGTGGTATTTTGTTTTCCCAGACTGTGCTGACTGAGACCCTCTCATCATGGAAAGAGCATGGCCTCTGGAACCAAAGACATGTGGATTTAAATCCCAGCTCTGCCTTTATTAGCCATATCTTTGTGCCCCACTCTTCATTGTAAACTATAGACAATGAGGAGAATATTGCCTCCTCTAGTCATTTATTTATCCAGCACTTATTTATTGAGTGCTTTGTATGTGCCAGGAACTCAACAACAACAAAAAATTGCTATACTTTGAGGCTACAATAGTAATTAAACCCAGACATGGTGCTTACCTTCTAGAGCTTATGATGTGGAGAGGGACACACAATAATGAATGAATCTCACAAATTCATGTTTCTGTAATTACCATTAGTGCTACAGCTTCTGCTACAGAGACATACCTCACTCAAGGCCATGCCCCTTCCTAGGGTAGCCTTCTATCGATGGTTGGTCAGTGCAGTAGTATAAAGTTTAGCCTCTCTGCTCCAATTCAGGACAGTCCTAAAGGGCCATCCCAACTGCAGAGTTTACTGGGGAGCCAGCTAAGTTCCTGTTATGACTACACCAGGCAGCCCAGCTCCTCCCTCTATGTGACCTTGTTTCTCTCCCTAATTTTCCAGAAGCATTGACCACCAGAGCTTGCCCCAATAAACTTCCTGTGTGTTAATCTCCACCTCAAAGTCTGCTTTCTGGGGATCCCACTGGTTTGTACTGAATAAATATAAACATGCTGTGCAACGAAGGATGGGAGGTCAAGATTCTTTAGCTGAACCTGGAGAGTAGACTACAGGCTCCCATCTCTCATCTGTCTGCTCACAAACTAGAAACCAGCATGAACAGAACAGGAAGGACAGAGCAGTTGACACTGCTTATTGTCCTGCCACTAATAGGACAATCACAGATCTTGTCTTGAGCCTTCAGTAAGTCCAGTGGGCGCATGTGTTGAGACATGGCCTGAAGTTGGAAGAGGTGAAAATATAATTTGCAATGCATGGGTCTGGATTTACGATAGGCCCACCTCCCCACTCCCAGGACTCTCATAGTGCCCTGCGCCAGAGTAAACTGTGGCCTTGAACCATTGCTTGGCATCTGCTGGTAGTCTGCGGGTACTGAAGCAGGTTGCATAGTGGAAGGAAAAAATATATCATTTGTACCTTCACTTTACCTATTCAGCATTTAAGAACTAGTTGGAAATGACAAGACAATGACATAGTCACAGAAATGGGCAGTAGATGGAGAAGACAGATAGCCTAGAAATAGATTTGAGATTAAAAAAAAAAGAAGAAGAAGAAGAACTGAAGAAGGAAAGGTAGGTAGGTTATTCAGTAAATCTTTCTGGGAATATAGTGTTAGAAAAAAAGATTATTTATTTAGAAAAATTAAGTTATATATTCCATTCCTGCACTAATAAAATGAAATAAAGAGGAAGGAAAGAAAATAGATATAATTAGCAATCTACTTTTAAAAAAACCCCAGAAAACAGAAGAAATAAATATAGAGGATAGGATGGGTGATCTCTTACTAAGTATTAAATAATGGAATAAAAAAGAAAAATACTCCATATGTATATAAGGCCATCAAATCATTACTAATAAAAGTAAAAGAAAAAGCAATTACAATAAAAATCACAAGAAGGATAGAAAAACATTTCATATAGAAAGACAAAATATAAATCAGTAAGAAAAATAATAGTCAATTCAAAATGGAAAAGAATATGTAGATAATTCATAGAGGGACAATAAAAAGTGTGTCAAGCATACAAAATATTTATCTCAACTAGTAAAAACTAAGTTGTATCCATATGCCTATTTGTATGGTATTTAAAAGAACTTTGCATTGTTGACAATTAAGCCACAGTAATTAGCACAATAATTCCACTCTGCGGAATCATCCTTCAGAAATAAACAGAGCTAGAGATGAAAGTTTTATTTTTAGAATATTTATCTCAGTGCTGGCTTTAAAAGAAAAATTACAGACAACCTTAAAATTCAACAACAGACGATGAAATAAAATGTGGTATCGAGACGCATCTCACAAGAGGACAGAAACAGGCACACAGTGGACTAGTGTGATACTGGAGACAGTAGGCTGGGATTGTTTGGCCTGAATTTTTATGTATTCCCAATGGCATGGTGCATGGTTAGAGAGAACCTGATAGTTTTGGAGAAGGTGACAGACATTTACACAGCACCAGAGAAGCTAAGCACACAAACTCGGGATCAGATTTCTGTGTGTTCCCATTCAGTTCTGTTGCTTCAGTTCTGTATGATCTTAGTCTATGGTCAGTGAGGGAACCGTTACAGATCTTTGTATTAATTGGGACAATGTCTTTGAAAGCAAGGACTTGAATCAGTTTTAAAAGGAAATGAGAAAAAAAAAAGCACAAGTAGTTTTAGCCAAAATTGTGTACAAGTGGATTGTGTTGGAATATAGTCCCAGGGAGCAAGAGGAAGGGGCAGGGCAGAGTGAAACGGGGGGGCGGGGAGGGGAGAGAAATACTTAGATGCTTTATTGAGTTGTCCACTTCACAGGTTACTAGGGCTGGGTACCCTGAGACCTTTGGCGGTGTCTTACAAAATGTGCTTTGGAACTGCCTTCCCAGGAGATACAAAGCAGGACTCATTTATTCATTGGATTCCACTCACTATTGACCAGGATGGCTCCACAGGCATTATTATTTCCCCCTGCACTTCTGGGATGTACATGTGTGACAGCTGAGAGGGTCCCCAGGGGTGTTCCATACAGCAGCATCAGAGAGGCAGGTGAGAGGTGCAAGGTGCTGCCAGATGCACTTACACGAGAAGTGTGCAAAGAATGTGGCCATGTATGGGAGTTGGGGCTGAGAGGACTCGGAGAGGCATACAAAACATGACCTATATACAAGTTTCTGGTGACTCGAAGAAGAGCAAAGACCCAGAAAGGCAGGACTGGAGCTGGGCTTCAGAGTACCTACAACGGTAGGTTCGAACTCCACCAAGATTTTCTCAATCTTGAATTTCTGTTTCTCTCTGGTTGGGCATCACCCTTTCTTTCTTCTTAGAGATAGCTTTCTCTACAGGGCATAAAACTTGTCTCTTACTGGCTTTTACATTTTGCATTTTATATATACATATAATGTCTGCCTCAGGAGAAGAACTGGCTGGTATACTTAGACTCATATTTAACATTTCCTAGGGCAAAGTTTCATTGGCCAGTTTTAGGTCAGACACCCATTCTTGGACAAACGAGTATGGTTAAAGAGAGGTGTCATGTAAGGATGTGAGGATACTGGTAGAAACCAGATAACAAAGAAGGGGAGGGGCAGCTTCCTCAGGAAGAGCAAGATGCCAAGCAGATAATGCCAGAAATGTGTTACTTGTGTTCTACATAACTCAGTGCCTGGGCCAGAAAATATCTCTTAAAGCATGAAGAGTCTAGAAGTACCTTTAGCCAAAATCAAAAAGGATAACAGAACCTAAAAGAAGGCAGAGGTAGTGATAGGAAGGAGAATGGAGGTGGTGGGAAGGAGAAATGATCAATGGACCATGTGACCCACATTAGTTTCACATGGTGTTCTTAGAGTGTACAACACTGTTCTCACAGTGTGTTCTTACAGTCTTCACTAACAGGGACTTATGCCACAAATATTTACACTGCAAATGCCAAGTCCTGTGACAGACGCTGGGGCTGCAAATGTGCCTAAGACAAAACCTCTCCCCTCAAAGAGCAGGGAGTCCTGTGTCTTGACAACACAAATACCTCATTTCTATAGGAAACCTTTCATCCATGCCTTGTCGTGGGATGTCATTGAATCACTGAATCCATGACATAGGATCCAGTTAATGGAATATATTAGTGTAGACTCTCTTCTTTACAGAAGGTCAAGGCCTGAATTTGTGGCAGCTCTTCATTTGTGCTTCCTATTTCCTGTCTGTTATAAAGATACCAAGTTCAATGCTGTGGGGTCATTTTGTCTGGGCAAAGCACTGGTGAGAAAGCACTGCAACTTGACAGCAATTCTCAGCATTTGATTGTTTTTTTCCCTCTTGGGTCTTGCCTAAATGGCTCCAAATAATAGTGGTCAACCTAGTTATTTCAACCATATCCATGGTTTGTGATGGTTGTCCTACACCTGTTCTGTGCACTAACATGCTGTCAGTTAAACTCCATTTGTCTTTCTCTTGTTGCATACATACCTAATCATCCTTTAAGACTTGTTTTAAATACAAGCATTCATATAAAGACTTCTGTAACATGAATGAATTTTTCCTTCTTCTAGGTTCCCACATCATCTCCTATCATGTTGGACTGTAATTATCTGTCCATATGTTTGTCTCTCTCTCTCTCTAGATTCCAAGTTCCTTAAGGAGAGAGACTTGATCTCATTTGTCTTTGTCTCCCCAGGACTCAGTACAGTGCAAAGCATGTGGTAGGTTCTCCAGTTTGCAGGAGGAGTGGATGATGAATTCAGAAAGTTGATTCTGTCAGATTCATAGTGCAGAGACATTTGGGCACTAAAAGTTTTCACTGACTTGACTTTATTTCCTCTAAATAAGCAAAAGATCCTCGAGATTTTTCAGTACAGCTGGCCTTCTGACTAGAATGTCACTAACATTTCAGGTCAGTGTACAACAGAAAACACTGCTGTCTTTGTTAAGTTTTTCAGCTCCTGTGAGAAATTCTACAAGGTATCATAGCATTCGCACAAGACCATGGTAGCAGAACTCCAACAAAAGTCATGTCATAGTATTTTCATTATCTTTATTACTATCTCATTTTTTTTGAGAGCTAAAAGTCTGACCCCAGAGAAAATTGCGGTCTGTCTTGAAGGAGGCCACCCAGAAAATAATACACAGTAAAAACAAAACATGAAATATAGAAAGCCTTCTGCGGAGGTGAGAGGTGATTTTTTCACACTTTTTTTTCTCACCTGATAAGTGATAGGGCACACTGTTAAATCTCCTTTGTTCATTTGAAGGGTGTTTCACATAATCCTGATTTAAACATATTGTTACCTACATTTCAGTCTGGAAGGCAGGGTAGCTCTGAATTATCACATAAAACAATAATAACAATAACAATAATAATAACAACAATAAATAAACCAGAATATAGTGTAATAATAGCAACAGTTTTTTTTTAAAGGCAAAAGATGTTTATCACAGGAATGATACCTGGAATTTATGAACGACCTACAATTTGCTAGAAACCACATTCAGTATCTGTGTATCTCAGTCAATCATGCAGGATGGTGTTATTGACGAAACTAGGTAAGGAGGAGAAATGATTTGCCAAATGTAAGTTAGGAAAGCAAATATGTTGACACATGAATGAGTCTCATAGCTGTCAAGTTGAGCCAAAGAGGCCAGATATGTGTGATTACTTTTATATAAAGTTCAAAAGCAGCCAAAAGTAATCAATTCTCATAGATAGCAGAAGTGTAGTTACTTTTGCTGGGTGGAGTTTGTCTAGAAGTGGGTACCAAGGAACATTCTGTATGACCAGAAATGTTCTACATTTTGACTTGGGGAGTAGTTCAAAAGTGTACAGATGTAACAACTCATTCAGCTCTGCAAAGATTTGTGACATTTTCTGTGTATATTACATCTCAATAAAAAATGTTAAAAAGTAAAAGGTGGGGGGACTTGAATTTAGCTGGTTAGTTTCAAAGTCCCTTTCATTCCAATACACGCTCTTTCTGCAATGACTGCAGTTTTTAAACACAGAATTTTACCCATTTGTGAACAGAAAAGTCTCCATAATAAACGATCACAAGTAGATTCATATAATGGCAATTACTGGGCATAGGAGGCTAGTTATGAAAGGATGAGGTAGTAAGCTGAGACTAGTTTACAAAAAGTTTTGTAAACCTTGTTAAAGGGCAGGGTATGGATTTTATTTATATGGGGAGCCACTGAGAGATTTTATATAAGAAATTTTATGGTCATATTTGCTGCTGTAGGTCAAATGAATTAGACCTACAACAAAAAGGATGATGGGAGGAATAAGGAAAAAGTTAGGAAGGCTGTTGCTGATAAATCTTGGATGGAATGTTATGACAGTGTAGTTGGTAGATGAAATAAAGATATATTAAGGAAGAACTGGATAAATGTTGTCGTCAACTGGATGTGGGTGATGAGGGACAGACAGGAGCTGGCTGAAGTGACTAGGTGGCCTCATCCATTGCAGCAGGCCTTATTTGAACACCAGGAACACAGGGACAAAGTATCCTCCTCTGGGGAAAGACTAAGGTTAGGCAGGTTTTCAGGGCTCTAGCCAAGTGATTTGTGATTCAGGGAAGGTTTGTAGTCCTTGCAAAAAAAATAGACTGTGGTTACAGGCTGAATTGTGTCTCAGAAAATTCGTATGTTGAAGTTCTAAGCCTCGTACTTGAAAATGTGACTATTTGGAGACAGAGTCTTTGAAGAAGTAATTAAGTTAAATTGAGGTCACTGGGGTAGGCCCTAATCCAATATGAGTTGTCTCCTTATAAAAAAAAAGGAAACTTGGACACAGACACAGATGGAGAGAAGATCATATGAAGAGAAAGAGAGAAGATGACTATCTACAAGCCGAGGAGAGGGAACCTCAGAAGAAACCAAACCTGTAGACATCATAATCTTGGACGTCTAGCCTCCACTTGTGAGGAGGTAAATTTCTGTTGTTTAAGCTACCCAGTCTGTGGCACTTTGTTGCGGCAGAGTAGCAAACTGATGTATGTCCACTTGAACTTAAGCCCATTTAAATCAGAGATGGTACAGGCCATGGGGAGCCGGGGGCTAAATCATGTAGCTCAGAAAGCCGTAGGGCCAGTAGGGCCCCTTGGAGAGTGATCTTCTTGGAGAGTAAACTATTTCCTGGCTAGAAGGAATTGCATCTACTGGTAGGGATAAGCAATTCTAACACTTTTCAAATTTAATTCTCATTGGCTCAGAGGTAAGACAGAGCAGAGCTATGGGTGTAAAATCTTTAATTCTGATGCTGGGCAGACTTAGAAGCAAGTAGGGGCTGACTGACCATCTCGATATTTTAAAAGAACCAACTGGATATCAACATAAAGCAAAAAAAAGATAGGTCTAATCAGAATTGACTTGATAAACAACTTAGATATTTGTACTTGCACATTCCTTGGTTATTAGACTAAGAAATCCATATAGATACATATGTATTAATGTCTAGTCTATATACTGCATAGCTCTGCCTTCATTTCATATCCTCTGCAGTTGACCAACCATCATTCTTGCTCACTTGTATTATTATAACTTTCTCCTAACTGGTTTGACCCCTTAATGAGGACCAAGGGCAGATCCTGAAGCATGAATGGTTGCATTGCCATGATATTCTCATGTGTCTGTATATATTTGCTTAGGAATGGAATCATCTAGAAATTCTTGACTCCTTGCTCTAGTCTCCTAAGTTCAATTATAAACTTTAGATTCTTCCTTTTCAGTTACTTTTACATTCATCCTTTCTTTGTACCTTTCTACATATCCTAGTTTAGGCTGTTTTCTGGTCCTCCCTGAACTACTGCAATGGCCTATTTACTGTTCTGCTGACCTCCTGGGTCTTTCTTCATCACCTAAAGTTATTCCGCAGAAATCTTTAGAAAACATCACTTTGACCACAGTGTCATTTTTCTATTTGTTAGCCATCAACAGTTCCTGGTGCCTATAGTAACAAATTTAAACACTCTTCAGCTTAATGTTTAAGGCTTTGGGAATCTGGTCCCCTCTAATATTTTGGTCTCATTTTCATCTACCCTGGTTTTCCAAATCCTTAAATGTATTAAAGTGGTTTTTTTTAAAAGATTTTATTTATTTATTTTTAGAGAAAGGGAGGGATAGAAACATCAATGTGCAAGAGATACGTCATTCAGATGCCTCTTGAATGCCCCTAGTTGGCGAGCTGGGGATCGTGCCTGCCACCTAGGCATGTGTCCTGACTGGGAATCAAACCACTGACCTTTCAGTTTGCAGGCCAACACTCAGTCCACTGAGCCACACCAGCCAGGGCTAACATGTTTTGGAGCATTAACCTCCACATTCCCACCATGCAGCCCTGTGCTTTTTCACCCCCATATGGTTCCATTTCTTACCTACCCACTTTCCATGCCCCACCTATCCTTCAAAAACATCTTTTGTTCTTGTTTTTCTCCTAGTGTGACATGCCTTCTTTGTCTACCTGGGCTACCCACCCTTCAAGGCCAACCATAATTTCTACCACATCTTTGAAGTCTTTCCTAATCTGCCTGTCATACAATCCTCTGTGAAAGGCCACTTTGGGGCATTTTGGTGACAGATTTGTCTGAGTCCTAGGGATCATGGTTAGATAATACACAGTTCCTAATTCCCAGAACAACATGTTCTTCTTTCTTTTTATGTGCCTATTGCAATTATTATCTAAAGAATTGTCTATTAATTCACTAATAAGTGATAAATCACTAATAAGTGATATATATTAGGAAATTGTTTCTGCTTTTAATTGATAATTAAATTTCTATGATGACTTTTTAAGAAATGATTTATGTTTCTCAGTTAGACTATAGAGACTTTGCCCCTGAATGATGTAGTTTAATGTTGAGAGAGGAGAGGAATACACTATTACATACCAGGCATCAAGGTGCAACTTTCACTGGTGCTTATAATGTGACGTGGATGGCAGTTGATTTTATAGAACACACAAAACCCATGGTTTTAGAGAGATTATTACTTAGGATAAGGCTAAAGTGGATAGTGCCTATTTAAGTTCTTTTTTAAAAAAATGAGTTGATTTAAATAAAAAATATCAAATAATAGTGCTTCAAGTGATCCTCGGTATGGCAAAAACTATAGAAATGGTCTTTAATCATTAAAAGTGTTCTATGATATCACATTTTATGTCTCACAACAATCTTGCAGATTAGAAACTAAAGTCCAGAGAAACATCAGAACTTATTTCAATCACACAGCTAATAGGTCACAATGCAGGTACAGGTGTCGGCACCTACGTTTTTGACTAAAGCTCTCCAAGTTTCCCCTTTACCCTATGCTCTTTTGCGTATAGGAAGATTTCTTATAATTACTTAACTGTGCATCCGACTGGTGTTTTTATACCTTGTATCATCTCCTCAAATACATTTACTTTCTAAATTAAATCCTTCACCTCCAGAAAAATGAAAGGTGTGCCAGGATAAAACTGGTGTATTTCTAAGCACATTTATAAAACACAAGGAAAAAGATCCGATTTCCTGCCTGGCTGAATGAAACATTAATTCTTCACCTTGGCACCTCAACCTACAGCTGTAATAAGGACCGTTATGCCCAAATAGGCCCTTAAACGGAAGACCTGCTGAGCGGAGACCCACTTTCCCAGCCCTGCTCAACTGCGTCAGCTTTTCTGCCAACTGACCAGGCGGAAGCAGCAGCAGGGGAGGAGGGACTGCAGGTAGGTGGGGAGGGGATCATTTTGAAAGCCCTAAATCCCTCGCAGGGAAGAAGCAGCTGCTCCTTGTTTTTCTAACATCTGTCCCATCTGTCCCCGGGTGCACGCCACCCTTCGGAGGCTCAAGCTAGCTAAACGTGGATATGACAAGGAAGCATTTCTGAAAGCTGGTTGTGAGTGGAAATGGGCATAATTGTCACCAAAAAGTTTCTTCTATTGAGAAGAGGGTAATTGGGGTTCTTAAGGAGGATGGTTACCACCTTACTTCATTTTCTTCACAAAACATACAGCTTTATCAGGGTCGTGTTTGTAACATCACCCAAATCGGACGGTACGCCCTGAGGATATTATTTCATTAAACAGAGACACCCCTAGAGCCCAGTATTTAATTTTAACCTCTAAGGAAGCCAGGCTGCTGATTTGGAAAATAATGACACAGCATACATACTACCTTTGTGGTATTATAATGAGCTGTGCCTACCTCGCGAGCCTGGGTTTTATCACATTTAACAGCGTGTTCCTTGTATCTGACCCTCCTTCCAACGCGTTGCACCTCGAGCATGAGGGGACCTTATTTTTGTTCAATTATTTTCCAGTAGTATTCAAACCCATGGCTGGAACCTGGCAAGCATGAAATAGACATTTATAAATGAATGAACATTACGAAGAAAAAATAAACAGGATGATACATTTGGTTGTCCCAAAGCTGGTGTGGAGGGTAGGGCTTAAATTTAGACCGAGTTACTAAGGGAGTCGCAGTCCCAAAGGCCCACAGCTTCGGCTCTGGTCACCAGTGACCCAAACCGACCGGCGTCACTCGGGCTCCGCCCAAAGCTAGGCTGCTAGGATTTACGACGGCTCCGCCCCCAGGCAGCGCACAGCCACGCCCCCTTCCCGGTTGTTTCCCACCGGCGGTACGTTCCACTCGTTACAGGATGAGGGGCGGGGCCGGGAGGGCGCAGGCGCAAAGGGCAGCGGAAGTAGCGAGTAGGGAACCAGGAATGGATTCGGCTGCGCTTTGAGAAGGGCATCACGCTCCTCCTCCTCCTCCTCCTCCTTCGGCGGGAAGCTCTGGGTCGCAGCACGTGCAGCGGAGCCTAGGCTCCTCCCCTCTCCGCCCCCTGCCCGGGAGTGGCCACACGGCTGCCTTCTTCTGTGGCCGAAATGGCGCTCGACCCGGCAGGTACGAGAGCGGGAAACAGGGGTTGCTGGAGAGTCTCGGCCCAGGTCTCTAACCGCGGGCCTGTGGGCTGGGGGCCGACCTAGGAAAAATGCCGAACTCTCGAGGTTGCACCGCTTCCGCAGACGTCCCCTCCCGCCTACCGTACTGCTTAGGGTTTTTGGCCAGCCCTGTTTTCTTCCCTCCGCCACGGGCTGTCTCTCCGCCTCTTGTGGTTAGATTAGTGTTAGGTAAAGGCGTTGGGTTTCTTGTCCGAGCACTAGTACGTTTGTGGCTTGCAAACATTTTCTTTCTTCATGCGGCAGGTTCCTTCAGCCTCATTCTGTTTTTTCGCCCTGCTGGGGCACAGACTCCTTTAAATATCTGTAGGTCAACTTAAAAACAACAGTACAAAGGATCCATCACTGTGGCAAGAGGCATTTACTTTGGAAAGAATCGCCAAAGTCGTCGTCAATGTTTTTTAACTTAAGTGCTTGTATCCATTTCCATCTGCAACAGTAGTTTCAGTTCCCTTCGAATCCCTTGCTTAAGGAAGCTCACCTGTGGTATCTTTGCTTTAGGATGTTTATGTACGGATATAGTTAGGAGAGCGTCTTTTACGGAGGGAATGGTTAATTGTTCTAGTCCATTCCCTTTATTTTACGGAGATGAAAATACAAGGCATTGGAAGGAGAAATGGATTCAAAGTTTTGGAGATTCAGAACTGAAAAAAGTCACTCTGTTGGACCTCAAGGAGAAAGAAAAATATATGTCGCTGACAATACATTTATTGAACACTTTACTATCAAACGGTGTATTCTCAATTAGTCGACAATAGGGTGGTATGGTAGATACTATGATCTCCGTTTTACAGATTAGGAAACAGGATAAAGGAATTTGGAGTGTAAAAGAACTTCCAGGACATGTAATGATCATACCAGTATTGGGCCTGGTCATTGGACCAGACTTTATGGAGCAGTTAACAATTGATCTGGACTTTGAAAGATAGAATTTCTAGTTGTTGCAGTCGGCAAAGATGTGGCAGGATGAGCAAATGTGTAGGCAGGAAAATGCAAGGTGTGAGGTTTGGTCCCAGGGTGAATACCTTGATTTGGTTGGTGGAATTAAGATGAATGTCAGTGAGGGATGGGAATGGGAAGTTCAGATTGGAAGTAGATTGAGGCCTATATAATTCTGGTATTTCTGAGCCAGAAGTGACATTCATAGTAATCTCACATAGATGAGAGAATCTCACACAGGCTTTCGAGGGTCTTGATTCTTGAGTTTAGACAGGGAAATTTAGGGGAAAAAATCGACATACTTGCCGTCTCCTCTTTCTTACTGTCCAGAGTCTCTTAACCTATTCCAGTCTTGTGGTGTGCCCAGGGCCACACAGCTAATTGCTGGAAGACTCAACTCTGAATGGAACTCAGATAATTTCTCTCTTAGTCCGGTGCTGCAGGTATAGACTTCATTTGAGTATTCGTTGATTAAACAGTTGCTTGTTGAGTGCCCGTTATATGTCATGTATTGTTCTAGGCCCTAGGAAACTGGTGTATAGAACAAACAAGATTCCTGCTGGGAATAGAGCTTGTATTCTGGTGGTAGAAGAAAGAAGACAAGTCCCACCCCCCCACCTTAGACACATACTTTTGCAGATTGTGATTAACATGATGAAGAAGATAATCAGTGTCCTGTGGTAGATGGGGAAGAGAAGACTACTTTAAATAGTGCTCAGTGAAGCACTCCTTGAGGAAGTGCAGTCCAATAGGAATCTGAAGGATAAGCAGTCACGTGAAGAGGTAGGGAAAGAATATGCCAGGCAGTCAGTGTTGTAGATGCTTAAAATACTTGAATGGAGGCCAGAATGCGGAGGAGATCCTAAGGAAACATGTTGGGAAAGTAGGTAGGAGCTGGGTGCTGCAGGGGCTTGAGGGCTATGATAAGAAAGCATTTGGAGGCTTTGAAGGAGGGCATAATATAATTTTAAAGTTATATTATGGCCTAATATAATTTATGTCTTTCCGACCCTGAGTGCAGTGGCATGCATTGTCGGGGAGTCTTGAGTGAAGGAGACAGACTGAAATGGTAGAAACTGACTAGACTTGCTACTACACTGAGTAAAGGTGGGGGAGGGAAACGGAGGCATTAAGGATGGAGGCATTAAGGATAGTTCCTCAGCCGTTTTACTTTAGCGGTTGGGTGGATGGTAATAGTCACATTTCATGACAAGATCATTGGAAACTTAGAAGTGGGGATGAAAACAAGATTGGAGTGGAAAGTAAGAAAGGGGAGTCAGCAAGAAGAAAGATTTTAGACAAAATTCTTTATCTGCTTAAAGTAAAAAATACGAATGTATTGAAGCCTCCCACCACCCACACCTTCTTTTTTTTTTGGTTTTGTTCATAAGTTGAAGCATAGCTTCACATTTTGATATTTCTCTTGTTTTTTATAGTCCACCATGAGTGGTATGTGCCTTTACCGAGTAGGTAGTTATGCTAAATGAAGCTTATATAGCAAAATTTATTTTCCTTCTGGTTTATATTACACTTTTTGAGATCTTTATACAGGTTTGACTTTCATTTGATAGTAGCTTTTAAGTAACTGTAGTGTCCATTTTTCTCAAGAAACTCTGAACCCAGCAATGAGATGTAGGTTACATACTTACTTTGTATGTCATTTTTTGAAACTATTTTCCTTTTTGTTAACATAAAAGTAATAATGCCATTCTTTGTAAGTTTTTATCTGGTATAATTATGTTCATTATTTTCTCTTACTATTTGATTGCAGAGAGGAAAAGCTGGAGAGAGTCTGAAACACTCAGGAAAAGTGGCTGTGCAGAGACATTACATTTCTAAAAAGTACTAGTGCCTGGGTTGTATTCCCAAGTCTCTCACACTTCAAAGTATTCTGTGGATGATATAATATGCGGAGGAAAGGAGAACCACTGTTCTGAACTCTCCCAGTTTTATTGACTGATCTTTCAGCTGTATTTGCTTTGTTTCCCAATCTTCCTATTTTCAGAAGAGATTCTCTACATCTTTTGCCATAAATGAGACCTTTGATAACATAGTAATTATCAAGAAATATACAGTGTAGCTTATGCTTTAGTAGGACTTAAGCATAGTGACTCTTACTCCAAGTTAATAGTTTTCTTTACCAATTTATAACTCTTTCTACAGATATTGTATATTTAAAAAATCCAGTCCAGTAAAATTGAAAATTTAAAAGGTGGTTTATTTTGAATGGATAATCCACGATCATCTCTAGAAACAATGTTAAAAGTTGTGCTTGTTAAAGTAGAATTTTCATAAAGGTAAAATTATTTGTTACTTATGCAAAATTATTTACTACTGATGCAAATATGTTCTGAAGATTTTCTTCAACTTGTTAGAGAGGGAACCAGTAAAATGCAAAAAACAGTTCAAAAAACAATTGAGAAGCTAGATAAATAGACAATTTTATAGATTACTGGCTTAGATGAAAACTGGTTTATTTAAAACAGGACCATACACTATAATCGTTTGGGGCTGTCTTTTGCACCGGTCAGAAATTATTTCTTTCTCTGTTCAACGAAACTCTAGAAGTTAAATTGCCCCTAACAAGTTATAAAGTACCCCAGTGCTGTAACTGAAAGAACACTGGTGTAGGCCTTTGCTAGGCTCAGATCCAGATACATTTCGACATGATTATCTACCCAGATGACAACTCTCAGGAATCTGGGCCTGATCATTGTGACTTTCTCTAGTTAAACTAGAAGAGATTCCTTGCTCCTTTTTCTTCCACCTCTCTCTTAGCAGGGTAGCAAGTTGCCCTCCTCCCCCTGTCAACCCATGTGGATTTGTTTTCTACTTTTGTGTAGTAGGGCAGTGACAGCATGAAAGGTTTCCTTACATCAAGTATGTGTGTGTATGTGTGTCCCAGTCTGTGTGTCCATCCCTCTCCCAGAGATCTACTTAGCGGATAGTGAAGGGACAGTGATAGGCCTCGGGGTGGAAGGTAGGGTGAGGAATTTTATGAGATTGTATTCGTAGATGTAGATGTTGAAGGAATATGTGCCTTGGGAGGGCATTATTATGTGGTAGCTCTTGGAGTCATAAGGTTGCACCAGTTCTTTTAGTGGTTCCAGTGGGGGTGTTGATAGATTAGGTTTAGGGGTACCAGTACTTAGATTTACTGGCAATTTTTAATTTTTGAATTAGACATGTAAGCAGATTGGAAGAACCTTTTTCTGAGCATCATGCAATTAATATGTAAAAGATTAGGTAGGTGATTTAAAAATTTTGATTTTATGATTACTTCTGTATCTCCACAGGATCTTCTCAGACATAGACATACATACATTGTGTTACTAGAATTAAAAATCTGGTTAATTTCTACATTTTGTATATATCTAAACCCAGAGTGTGTTTGCACTAGAAAATACATTGTTTCTCTCAGTAGATTAACAAACTTCTAATGGGTGGTTCTTGGAAAGATGAAAAACACTGGCTTCAGCAAAAAAAAAAAAAAAAAAAAAAAGGCACAAGAAAGTTGAGATCAAAGAGGAGCATTTGCTGTGGTGTTGGGGGGTTTGAGTTGTCAATTCTGAAGTGTCCTGCAGACCAGTTCAAGGACTTTGAATTTCATTCTCTGAACAATGGGAAGACTGTAAGTTTTTTGAAAGGAAATTAGAGAATGTTCCTCATGTTGTGTTTATCGGACTTTTGATCAGATTGAGGTTATGGAAGTCCAGCCAGATGCTGTGTAAGTGGTGGTGTTTCTGTCTCGGAGTGTCATATCTGGAGGCATGAGGCACGTGAAGTGCCTCTGTCACTTATAGGTAGTGTGAATTCCGATCGTGCTGTCAAGGTCTTGTTCATTTCTTCTTGATATGTCTTTCCTGTCTTGCAATTAGTTAGTTATCTGTGGGCAGATCATTTAAGACCTTGTAAAAGTCATCAAAAATTCCCCATTGATTCAGCATCCATGGATGATTTTTGCCTTATTCAGTCTTTTCTGTGATGGTTGCAAAGTAATGATTC